TGAGATTTTCCTATTTCCTGGGGAAAAAAAAAAATCCACATATACATACTCGTTGTTAGGTGTCGTTGAGTTAATTCTAACTCACAGCATCCCTGTGCATGTTGGAGCAGAACCACGCTCTATTGGGTGAGTTATCAGAAGTAGAACACTAGGCCTGTTTCCCAATGTGTTTTTGGTTGGACTTGAACTTCTGATCTGACAGTGGCTGAGTGTTTTAACCATTTACATCACCAGGCACTCAGCACTCCAAGTACACAACTTAACTTACTTTCGTTGTACAGAATTAATACACTGTCAGAACTTATCAAGTCCTCATTGTAGAAAATTATTCTTGGAGTAATTGTGTAACCATTAAGCATATGAGAGTCATTAAGACTTTCTCTGAATCAAATCATCAAACCCTAATACTATATAAGCATTAATTATATTACGACTGATGGCTGTGGTGATAGTTCCGACTCATAGCGACCCGGTAAAAGGTTTCCAAGGCTGTCAATCTGCACGGGAGAAGAATGTCTTATTTGTCTCCCATGGGGAGGCTGGTGGATTCGAACTGCTGACCTTGAGGTTAGCAGCCCAATGCATAACCCACTTCGCCACCTGGCTGTTCCTGCAGACGGTAACAGCAGAGTAACACGCAGTATGCCCCCTGGCTCAATCTTTTTGTGAGTATTTCACAATTTTCTAAATGAAAAATGCTACAATCTTGATTCACAATCGTATTTGTCTTCCTGTAATTATAAAAAGCAACACAGACTCTTGCATTTCTAGAGTTTCTACTTCATTATTTCACAATAGGGAAGATATGACTAGATTTCCTTTGGGAGGAGAGTATGTTTATTGCCTTTATATCTTGCCTTAACAACAAAACAGAAAAGCTCTGAAACATTTAACACTTTGTGTGTCTTAAGTGCTATCGAGTCATAGCAACCCTGTATAGGTTTTCCAAGGAGTGGCTGGTGAATTTGAATTGCTGACCTTGCAGTTCAAATGGACCTTGCAGTCCAATGCTTTAGCCCACAGCACCATGCTAGGAATCCTGTTAACACTTTAACATTTCAGAAATGAGATCAGCTATGGCTATCACCATCTACACTCTTTCTAGAAGATTCCATTACACAACCCTGTATGTAAACAGCCAACAGAGGATGCTAAACTTGGACCTGCCACCTCATTTCATTGAAGTATCAGTGCCCTGAGATCTCTATAGCTCCAGCATCAGATGGGACAAGCCATTTACAGCCTGCTTGGTTCTGGAGGTCTGTTGGTAGATGGAAATCCTTTGTTCCTGGATGCAATCAATTTAAACTGAGCTGACAAGCTCAGGGCTCCATGCTGAGGTCAGAAAATGCCTCTATTGTCCTGGAGCTGACTGGGCTGTTCCTTCAGGGCCCACAGTTCAATCATGAGAAAGACAGGTTCTGAGCCACAGGAGTCGGACCAACAGGGAAGGGGCTCCAAGGTGGGTTGCTAATGAAATCTGAAGAGTGGACCGCAGCTGATCTTTATGTTGGCATTGGAAATTCCACGGGGTCGGGAACAAGAGGCAGCAGGGGAAAGCAAAGTGCAATGGGCTGAACTGTGTCTCCCAAATCTGTAGCCACCATCCTGACCCTATACCCACAAAATGAGGCTCTGAGTGGTACAACCATTAAGTGCTGGACTGGTAATCAGAAGGTTGTGGTGTGGATCTATCCAGAGATGCTCTGAAAGAAAGGCTTGGCTACTTCTGAAAAGCCTGCCATTGAAAACCCCATGGAGCATAGCTCTACTCGGACACACACGGGGTCACCAAGAGTTGGGATCGACTAGAGGGTAACTAATTTTTTGTCTGTTTTACGTCTGTAAATATGATTCTGTATGGAAAGTAATTTTGTTGTTGTTATTTTTATGCTAAGGAATCTGATATATGATGGGTGCAAATAGTTGGAGGTTCAAGCCCACCCACAGGTACTTTGGAAAGCCTGGAGATCTCCTTCTCAAAAGTCAGCCACTGAACTCCATAAAACACTGTCATACTCTGACACACCATGAGTCCTCTTCCCTGTCACTTGTGCACCTTGCTTTTCCTTAGCCTGGGATGTCTTCCTTCACATTACCTGCCCAAGGAACTCTCTCTCTTTAAAACTCCATTCAAGCACCACCTTGACAAATATTTTTCTGACACTTCCATCTGAATAAAGTAGGTGCCTTGCACATTGTCTGCTTTTGTACAACAGGCTGGTTAGGCAACATCAGCACCTAAGGGGGTGCTCAGTAAACACATTCCACACTGTGAACTAACTCCACCTTTCCTGGGTGGGCCGAGAAGCAGGAAGCCAGTGTATATGATGTTTGAGCAATTCGCATAGCACTGTAACAACTCTGAGGGAAGAGGACACTGAAAAAGAGATTATCCAGTAACACCCTAAAACACAAACGTACAAATAACAGCTCTCAGGCCACGAACCCAGGCAAAATTCTGAAGCTTGTCTGGGCAAGAAAATCATCCTAACTAGAAAGAAAAGTCTGAAGAGCAAGCTTACATAATTGGCAAGAGTTGTGCTTATATTTATGTCGGAAATAAACACTAAAATGTACCAAGAAGATGCCTTGGAGATGTCATTGAAATGAAGATCTGCAAATACTATCAGCATTCAAGGAGTATAAGCAACAATGCCACCGCAAATCCAGTCAACACAACCAACAAATCCAGCCAATGCAACCAACAAATCCAAGCAATGCCAGCAACAGATCCAACCAACACAACCAGCAAATCCAGTCAACACAACCAATAAATCCAGCCAATGCAACCAACAAATACAGTCAATGCAACCAACAAATCCAACCAATGTCAGCAACAAATCCAGTCAATGCAACCAACAAATCCAGCCAATGCAACCAACAAATCCAGTCAATGCAACCAATAAATCCAGCCAATACAACCCCTCAAGAATGGGTGGCCATGGAGCTCTGGTAGCGTAGTGGTTACGAATCGGGCTGCGAACCTTAAGGTCAGCGGTTCGAAACTACCAGCCGCTTCGCGGGAGAAAGATGAGGCTTTCTACTCCCGTAAAGATTTACACCCTCGGAAACCCTGTACAGGGTCGCTATGGGTCGGACCCGACTCGATGGCACTTAACAACAACAACAACAACAACTAACAAGAAGGTTCCTACTCTCCTCATTCCTAGCACTGTACCATACATTGGATACATTCTGTCCCCAAAAATAGTCCAGTTCTGTTTCTCTAGAAAATTCCAAGAGAGAAGTAGGCAAGACATTACCAGGTACCATGAATTGAGGCTCCATAATTTGCCCTGAACCAGAGTTCACAGTAATTGCATTCAAATTGGTGGAATTCCAAATTTTTCTTTAGAAATTTTTTTATCTTTAGAAAGCAGAAACAGATAAGAAATCACCCATTATCCTACCACCTTGATTTTGAAACTGCCAATATTTAAAATAATTTCCTTCCAATTTTTTTTTCTTCTACATATAGGTTAATTGTCTCAGAGATTCAGGGACTATGCATAGTTGTAGCTTTACCTGCATGATGAGTTAAAAAAAAATTGTTGTTGTTGTTGTTAGGTGCCATCAAGTCGGTACTGACTCATAGCGACCCTATACACAACAGAACAAAACACTGCCCGGTCCTGGGCCAACCTCATGATTGTGGCTATGTTTGAGTCCATTGCTGCTACCACTGTGCATAGGTTGGGGGTCTTCCTATTCTTATCCGACCTTCCATCTTACCAAACATGATATTCCTCTCCAGTGATTGGTCCCTCCTGACAATATATCCGAAGTATGAGAGACGAAGTCTGGCCATCCTGGCCTCCAAGGAGCACTCTGGCTGTACTTCTTCCAACACAGATCTGTTTGTTCTTTTGGCAGGCCATGGTACTTTTAATATTCTCCCACAACATCATAATTCAAATGCACCAATTCTTCTACAGTCTTCCTTATTCACTGTCCAACTTTCACATGCATATGAGGCTATTGAAAATACCGAGGCTTGGGTCAGGTGCACCTTACCTTAAACTGACATCTTTGCTCTTCAACACTTCAACAACAAAGAGGTCTTGTGCAGCAGATTTGCCCAATGCAATACATCATTTTATTTCCTGACTTCTGCTTCCATGAATGTTGATGGTTGTTCCGAGCAAAATGAAGTCATTGATAACTTCAATCTTGTCTCCATTTAAATGGATGTTGTTTTTAAAAAAATAGAAACAAGGAAATCAAGCCAGACTTAGCTCTCTATGCATGATCTGGGCTAAACACAAGGAGATGTGCACATTTTGAAAACAATTATGATTCCTCTTGTCTCCTTCCCTCCCTCCATCACCTAAGATGTGTCTGTGAACCTTCACTACATGTAAAGAACTGACACTTGTGCTGATGAAGCAAACAATCCTGTCAGAAAGAAGTAAACAGATGCCTAGTGAAGAGAAGTTTTAATCACTTCTGGGTATGTTTCTGGGTACATTTGATCAGAGGGATACAGGTGATATGTGATCAGTTAGACCTAGGGGGCTTAAGTCATGTCAAGCTGGAGGGATCAGGGAAGGCTTCAGAGAGGAGGTGGCATTTCGTCTGGGCCTTGAACGATGGAGAAGTTCTGGACATACGGGGTGGAGCAAAGGTGTATGAAGGGGCTACAAACAGTTCATGGAAAAATGGAAGGAAAAGATGATGGAATTTCCCCCCAAACCTTTTGAAGCTCCCTCCTGAATGAGAGTAGAGACGAGAGAACTCCACCCTCGGACAGGTTGCTGTCATTGTTTAGAAAACATGACTGTTCTCAAGGTCATTCCCTGGAGTCTTGGATCTACTGATGGACCACCACCCTGGCCAGATTGTACAGGGCCCAAGCCAGAATCTTTTCAGGTTTCATGCCTATTAAGTGTGAAATTGGAGAGGAAATCCATGGAAGTCTGGGTTTGGTGGACATCTGAAATTCACAAGTGGTAAGTAAGACACTTGGTGACAAACAGCAGCAGGACAGCAATTCTTACCGTGGACACGGATGCCGTTTGGTTGAAAAGAAGAGCAGGCTTCTGGTGGGTAGGACTTCAGGTGGGAGCCTGCCGGCTGCTGGGGGAGGGGTGGCTGGGTACTCTGCAGTACTGTAGAGGGGGCTGCTACTCTCCGGGGGCTGATGTGGTGTGGAGACAAAGCAGAAGGTGCAAACCTGAGAAAACAATTGTAAGAGGAAACATAAGGCACGTAAAATAAAGGGCAGAGGCAGACCTGTAAAAGCCCAATTCTAAAACCCCATTCCGCCTGCGGACTGGAACCTTTACGATTCTCTCCCAATCTTATTGGTTAAAATCTAAGGATAAGCACTGTACTGTGGAACACAAGGTCTGTGGTTTGAGCCTACCAGCTGCTCCATGGAAGAACAATGAGACTTTCTGCTCCCACAGGGACTTACAGTCTCTGAAACCTTATACAGGGTCACTATGAGTCAGAACTGACTGGACAGCACTTACCACCACCACCACCAAAATCTCAACAAGGAACCCTGGTAGTTCTGTGGATTATACATTGGCTGTGAACCCAAACTCTGGCAGTGCAAACCCACCAGACACTCCACAAAGAAAGATGAAGACATCTGCTTCCATGAAAATTTACAGCTTCCGGAACCCTACGATGCAGTTCTATCCTGCCCCAAATGAGTCAGAATTGACGGATGGCACTGGGTCTGTTTTAACTCTGGGCTTAGAAAATCTCAAGCACAAGGAGTCCTCGTGGCACAAAGATTAAACTCTCGGCTGCTAACTGAAGAGTATTGGTGGTGGTATTGCTAAATGCTGTTGAGTTGGTTCCAACTCATAGTGACCCCGTATAGGGTTTCTAAGGTGGGTTTGGTGGGTTTGAACTGCCAACCTGTGGTTCACAGTCCAGTGCTGATCCTTCAGCACCATTCCAGCAGTCCAACCAAAGAGTTGTTGTTAAGTGCCCTTGAGTCAATTCCGACTCATAGCAACCCGTATAAGGAGTGGCTGGTGAGCTTGATCCACCGACCTTGAGATTCAAACCAACCTTGCAGTTCAACGTATTAACCCACAGTGGCACATCAGGACTCCAACCAACAAGTAGGCAGCTCAAACTCTTTCAGTGTCTCTGTGGGAGAAAGGCCTCATCGTCTACTCCTGTAACAATGACAACCAAGAAACCCCTAGGGGGCAATTCTACTTTGTCACCTTGGGTTGCAATGAGTCTGAATTGACTCCACATCACTTGACAACAACAACAAAAGCAACAGTCTCAACTGGGACATAGAATGAATGAAAGAGATTCACCCAGAGGAAAACCTAGTGATCGTCTGGATTTGTCAAGCTCCTTAAATTGCATATCAAATATTTTGGGTTTGGTGAAATTCAAAGCACATTTGGCTAGGCCCTCTATCTGTTAATTTTATAATCCATCTGCATTTTAGGGGAGATTGAACCCATATGTTTGTGATTCATTGACACTTAGCCCATAAGCATTTTTGTTTGGTAAGGCATATTTGATGTCCAAGAAGTGTTACAAAGTCTTTATTGGCAATCACCCTCATCCTATTCTCTTTAAACAATACATTTTCTTTTGCCAAAGAGTGAACTGACTTACACCTCCAAGGTCACTCGGGGTGTGAGACCCAGAACCAAAGAGACCCAAGAGGGTTCTATGCTTAGCAAAGAATGTTCCCCAGAGTGCCACAGAATCGTCTTTTGTAATAACACGAGGCAATCACAGTAAGACAGTGGGCATTTTCAGAGGGGAAAGGCACATCTTGGTACTTAAATAAGGTAACTCCACCAAGTCATTGAGATATGATAAGGATCTTCTAACTGTAGGAGAGAACTGATCACATCTGACACATTAGCTTTGAAACAACAGTTGGCTCTTTCTATCATTGAAGGAGTATTCCTGCTAATGGGTAACATACTTAGCTGCTAACCAAAGGTTGGAAGTTCCAGTCTACCGAGAGAAGCTTTGGAAAATAAGGTCTGGAGATCTGCTTCGAAAAGATCAGTCACTGAAACCCTTACGGAGCACAGCTCTACTCTGACACACGGGGTCAGCAGGAGTCAGAAAGGAGTAGATGGTAACTGGTAACCGTAAAGAGAAGGTGGACTTGTATAGCCCATGTCCGAGTTTGGCAATGCCCATAGAGTATCAACAAGACACTCAATCTGCCAGTTTGGTGGGCGCTTGGAGAAAGTGTGGTGACCATGGAATTCATCGTGTAGTGAAATGAAATAGCAAAAACATTTGCTGGAAAACAACATTAGCAATGAATTGTCTTATTGGTATTACTAGGCTCCGACTGTCTAGTCCTGCCCTGTTTTCACTAATTTTGGTATGTTCTAACCCACTGCTGTAGCCAACATGTATTCTGAGTACCTTCCAACCTAGGGGGCTCGTCTTCCAGCACTGTGTCAGACAATATTCCGCTGTGACCCACAGTTTTCACTGAAGAATTTTCAGAAGTTGCTCACCAGGCTTTTCTTCCTCATCTGTTTCTGGAAACTGCACTGAAACCCATCCACTGTGACTGATTCTGCTGGTATTTGAAGTACCAGTGGTAAGGCTTCCAACATTCCAGACTACACAAGCCACCACAGTAGGTCAAACTGAGACACAGGGGTGGGATGAAATGTTTAGACTCCACAAGAAGCCCATTCAGTTGAAGATTTCCAGCTGACTGTTTCTACACACTGTGTAGAAAGACAGACTTTGTTCTGCACCAACACATTGATTGCATCACTTATTTTACAGGAAGTGACGTCACTTCATTTTCTTCGGCTTTTGTGAAGGGTCATAAATGCTAAAGAGACAAGTGATTTGCAATGTCCTGAATAAGAATATTTAATAAGGCAGAGCTTTTATATGTTTATTGGAAACATCAAGAAACCATGGGACAAAATCCTCTGTTATTCTGTTTTGTTTCCTTTGCTGAAGGATGGTGAGGCTACATGTGAGAAGCTTATATCAAGACCATGATGGGGAGTTGGGACTGGGTAGCTGCTAGAGAGAGAGGCACTCGGTTCGAATCCCGGCCAATGTAAATCAAACATAGCCATCATTCGTCTATGATGCCAGATGGAATCCTGGGCTGGTCCTGTAGGATAAGCACTTGCCAGTAAGGTTGGTTTGATCTGCAAGGGTGGCTGTTCAAACTTACCAGTCACTACTCAAAAAATCTATATAATGTCTCTATGAGCTGGAACAAATCAATGACACTTAACAACAACAACAATACTGATGCCAAACAGATTTCAGCAGAGCTTTTAGACTAAGACCAGGAAGAAAGGTCTGGCAATCTAGTCCCCAAACTCAGCTGATGAAAACCCTGTGGACATCCACAGTTCCATCCTCAATGGATCACAGGGAGAGCACAGGACCAGACAGTGCTCTGTTCTGGACTGTTCAGGTTTGTCATGAATCAGAGGCTGACCCAAAGTTAGTTAACCACATCAACAAACACAAGCACAACCTGCAGAGAAAAGAAGACAGGAGACACGTAACCAAACCAGCTGAATTCAAATGCCTGCTCAGTCAACAATTTCCACGTCTACTCTTTTGGAAGGGAACAGCAACCAAATGTCCCAAGATGGGCAAGTATATATTTTCCATGCATATCATCTCAATCGTTGGAATGATCCTGAAAAAGATGTGCTGAATGGCTTTACAAGAAAACACAGCAAACAAATCCAGACATTGCCCTGGGAACATCTAGTAAAAGTCCCGTGCCAGGATTCCGCATATGGAGGCGATTTTCCTGGGGAACATGCCCTTAATGTGTTTCACAAGCCACTCTGAACTTGGTGGAGAAGCATGAGGAATTGCGGGACCACAGAATTTAGGGCTAGAGTCTGCACATCCACCCCATGCTGGAATCCTGGAGTCAGGGTGCCTGGCTCCTAAAATGCCCCAGGGATGGAGGAGGGAGCCTCAGAAACCACGGCTAAGCCGCCACTGTGGCTTCTCCATTGCGTTTTTGGGACAAGCAAGCAAGGTGCTAACATTGCCTCTCTGATTCTATTTCCTCATTTGAACAGATACTACAGAAAAGAAAAACATTAAGCCGGTTACCATGGAGTTCATTCTGACCCATGGCTGCGCTGTGTGTGTCAGAATAGAACTGTTTCATTGGGTTCTCATGGGCTATGTGTTTTGGAAGTAGATTGCTGGACCTTTCATCTAGGTGTTTCTGAGTGGACTTGACCCTCCAGTCTTTCCGTTAAACAAGTAAACAAGTTTACTGCTCAATCCACCCAGCAACTCCAAGGTGGTTTGGTTCTAAATGGGCTTCCAATCTTTCCTCCTGGTACCTCTGTCACACTTTCTTTCTGTTGAGGACCAATGGGCCAGAGGGTGGGCCCAATAGGCAGTGCTTAGGAAGTAGGGCCCAGCCAATGGCTTTAATGTAGAAAATAATTTTGTTCCATACCCTCTCTGCGTTGCTCAGCAAGTGCAGATCAGAAACTAGGGTGAGCTTAACAAGAAGTGGAAAAAGTAAATTAGGAAGAGACATGTTCACTATGAAACCTTGCTCTTGTAAAATTTGGGATGTATGGCTATGAGATGAATCCTGCGTGATAGTACCAGTGGTGGTGCAGTGGTTAAAATGCTCATCTGTGAACAGAAAGGTCAACGTTTGAACGCCCAGCCACTCTGGGAGGAAAGACCTGGAAACTTGCTCTAGTAAAGATGACAATCGAAACCCTCATACCAAAACCAGGAAAGGATGTTAGTAAGAA